GAACTATACATTTTTCGTGAGTTAAATCTTTTAGCAGCTTTAAAAAAAACTTATTTCGTAGATTATACGAAAGAAACGGCAAATCAATAGCCTTTTAGGACCAATGGTTATGTTATGGCATGAGGAACGCACGGTACTTTTCAGCATAGTTACATCTTCTTCACTCTTTACAGCTTTCTATTTTATCACATAAGCTGTACGTATTCCGAACAATTGTGTTTTTAATGAGATATTTTTTGTTCTAATAAGTGTCAGAAAAATGTGTGAAATTTTTAATTGAAAACGTTTTACATTCTATGTCAACACACTACGGTATTTTATTCAATTAGTGTCGGGCAAAGCTAAGTAGGGGGGGGGGGCACTTTTTTTAAGATAAATTCCATTTAAAGTCTTAACTTCCTATAGTAAAAGCTATGTATACAATAATTTTTTCAATGCAAGATTCAAGTCTTTAGGACTGTATCTGTATGTTTAATGATTATGCTTGTAAGCATTATGATTATAATCTTAATAAGCGTTTCAATCATTTGGAATGGCTATTCTGACTCTTATCAGGTACTATACAAGTTTGAAATAAAAAAAATTAATTAGAAATAAATAACGGTTCCACTAAATAAAAACTCGGAACAACACTCGAAAATCGTAAACGATCTACCGTACGTCCTCTGTGGGTATTGTATTAAATCGCAGTTAATTTAAATCTTGCACAACGTCAAATATAGAAGCAACGTTTATACATGCCTAAGGGAAGTTAGACGAGTAAAGTTCTAAGATCTAAGAGCAACACGTATATGAAATACATCACTTATCACGCAGAATACTTCTAACTTCTACAAATGTATGAAAGTTGTTTTTTTACAGTTGACACAACATCGTATATCTTACCTTTATCAAAATTGAGATTGAGTCTGTGGTTATAAACATGTAGACATATATCGTTATTATTATAAAGAATTTCAATATCAGTCTTGTATTTATTGAGTCTAGTTTGAAAAGACATGGACGATTGTCTTATGTAACAGCTATCAGAAACCTTGCCAAGAATACAATATACACTATTGTTTTTGATAAGACACTGAGTTTTCAAATAAAGTTATAAGACTGAATTTATTATTAGCACTAAAAACGACTGTAATAAGATTTTTATAAAGATAATTTTTGATAATACAATATAAATAAGAAGCATATGGCATACTTAGAAAAGTTTCGTGGGATGACTGAATCTGATTATAAGTATTATTATTGTTTCTGTTAATATTATTTTTTCATCTTTGTTTCCTCAATTTTTTTAATAAATCAGTTAATAATTATTGGCAATTAAAGAATTTTTAACTTTTTAAAGGATACTAAAACAAAGTTTTATCAGATAATTTGATGTAATTATTAACTAAGGTAGAAATAACATCTATTTTATTGTTTTTACAAACTGTAGCTAATGAGTGACATCATTATTAACTTTTAAATATAACTTTTTCCTTATCTATAACTTGTGTTATACCTGATAGGGGTTTTTTGGTTTAATTAAGAAGTAAGACAGTACCACCATTCGATGCCTTTTGTACCAATAGAAAACTAATACTTACAAGTACAAATATATGATACTAGCGGCCCCCCCCCATCTCGGCTTCGCCTTAGTAAATAGAATACCGTAATATGTTGACGCATGTAAAACATTTTAAGTTAAAAATTTTACATATATTTTTGACACATCTCAGAACGAAAATTTTCTTATTAAAAACATATTTGTTTAGAATCCATACAGTCAATTTGGTCAAGTTCAAAGCTGTAAAAAATGAAAAAAAAAAATTATATTAAAAAGTACCGTGCATAACTCACGCCATAACATATTTAGAGGTCCTTAAAGGCCCTTGATTTCTCTTTTTTCCCATATAATCCATGAACAGAGCCCTGGCTATTTTTTTAAGCTGTACAGATTTAAAACTCACAAAAATTAAACAATTGAAAATTTCTTTTTTCTTATCTTACAACTCTAGCACCACAGCAACAAAGTTCTGAAGCCTTATCTTTACATTTTTCATCGCCACAAAAATACAAATACGTATTTTACCTATTCAAAAATCTGGAAGATTCCAAGATATTACTATAAGAGTTATAGTGCACAGCTGATTTGTCAATTAATTTTTTATTTGTCGATTTTGATGTTACTTTCATCTTGATAAATGCTCAGCATCATTGTCTTGACGCCTAAAATTGTATTCATGAGATGCATTTGAAGTTTTTTTTTGTAATCGTGCTCTTACAATTTTTGAGATGGCAAAGACTCTTGTACCCCTAAAGACTGTATTTTGGCAACTTTGGTATGTTCTAATATATTTGTTGCCAAGATAGTATGACATCCGATGGCCCTAAAAATAACCGGTGTCCTTCTTAAGTAAACTCGTTGTTGACTAAAATTTCCAGAAAACTTGACTGCCTGGATTTCTAAGGGTGATCTTCTCTGGCCTGTTATTGTAGCACCACACTGATCGGGAGAAAAGCTACAACGTTTGAAGTTTTGGAGCTAGTTAAACAGTTGTTTTCCTACGTCTCTAAGTATAACGTCAAAGACGTCAGTGTCTTACATTTTTTTATGCAGACTCAGTTGTTTTCGTGATCTAAGGTGGAGGGATTGGTTCATAATGCTTGCCTGTTAGAGACTGTCATGTTGGCTCAAGTTAATTTTTTCTTCATAGCTGTAAGGTTCTCCCGGCACAGACCTTGGAAAGGATCGATGATTCCTGGTTAACTGCTTATAGTCGAGAGGATAATATAGCGTTGTTGGTCACCAAGGTTTCCAACCTTGCGACGACAACAACACTGCTCGTGATGTTTGCCAGTGAATGACTGACTTGGTTTAATAGTGGCCGGCTTTACATATATTCTTAGTTAACGAATAGCTTTCAGAACTTGTATTAAAAATGTATTTGTTGGCAAGGTTATTCAAACTAACGTGGCCCTTAAAAAAACCAATGAGATTGATGGCTAAGTAGGGAACATAAATACGTATAATGGTTCTGAAAACGGCCTGTGATGAAACTTTCAGCTATTTCTTATGACTATTTTTGATTATAAAGAGCCAGCTGTGGGTAGCTTGACCCTTATCTTTGGAGTCTCTATGTACGAAGACCGTACATGAGAGACATACACCACTGACCAAAGAATATCTCGTCTTCAGGTCGTTCCCAGAATAACCAATCGCTCATTGTTAGTAGAGAAAGTGGGCACGGAGAATATCTACTCTGTAGTTATGTTGTTAGGACGACTACTAAGAAGGAGGCCATTGTGGAGGTTAATCTGGAGTAAAACCGACTCAGTTCAATTGCTTATGAAAAATGAGTGTTTTCTGCAGCTGGGATGCCCTGCTGCATGACTAACATTTTTGTTCTTAGTGTACTGCCGTTGAACGACTACGATAATCGTCTACTCAGTGGGGCATCTCATAACCATTCTTTACTATCCTTAAATGCGGGTGGCTTCAATTTTACCTCGACGTTACCTAACGGATCCTACTGAACTAAAGCGCAAAGCATTTTTTTTTAGCAAAGCTTCGAGCTTATTTATCACTATTGTCAATAACTTTTTCGAGAAAAAAACTATGCGAAAACTATTTTGGAATTATTAAAAATCAGTGCACAATATTTCAGCGAAGTTGGTTCAGTAGTTTTCGTGGTTAGCGATTACAACGGTTTAAGGTTTTTGCTATATACATTAGAAGAGTTAATTATACATCTTTGTTGTTTTTTTGTATGATTAGAATTTAGAGTTTTTTAAGTGTAAATATACACTAACTTATGTTTCCAGCATGTAAATAAGTAAGTCATCATAATACTTGCTGGAAATTACTAAATACTTGTAGTAATTCGAAAGGCTTGCGAAGTCTATATTAGAGGGCTATTGATAAACACATTTTTTTCATATTGAGTATGCTAACACGTTTTAGTTTAAAAAGAAAGAAAAATGTATCCATTAACACAAAGTTATGTAGCCACTCAAAACTTCGATCTTCAGAACCATGTAGATACTGATAAAAACTTCATAATTTAAGGAATTTTACTTTAAGTATCTAATACATAAAGGTCCTTGACTACGACAGTTTTGAGAATTCATAAAAAATTCTCATTTTCTAATAGATGGCATATTGTTTATGATTAATTCTGTTAAAATGCTATTTTGTGTTATACGAACCTATCATAAAAAGTCTTTCGATATTATTTGTGTGTTAATTGTACGTAGAAGCATTTTATAAAGAGCCTAACAAAATCTGTTAAGAAAGTTATTAAAACAAAGATTTTTACGTAAGCATTTATTTCTATGCTTTTTTAAATGAAGGTCTCCACCATGAAATCGTTTTTTTTGAAAGCCTTATAAATAAATTAAATAGAGAATGTGTAGTCTAGACTCACGTAGAGGATATTAGTACTTATGACTTTAAATACAAAAATACTCCTATTAATTAATTAAGTACAGATTATTCATTCAAAAATTAGTGACAGTATAGCATACTACTTAAATAATTTTACCGTTTCTCATGATTTCTTACACAACTTTTAAGCCTTTTTATAAAATAGACTGAAAAAACGTTTAATTTTTATTGTTGACTTGCCAACTGTTCTAGAACAAGTTACTTAAGTGCTTTATTTATCAAACACTTAATATAGTCTTAAATACTTTAGTTGTATAAGCACAGGCACAAGAGAATTAAATTCCACAGCCCTCTGAAACTTGTAGTATATGAAGAAAATTAGATAATATAAGTACAACTCATAGTACGTTTTTTGAATAGCTTAGTATAATAATTTATAATTTTTAAATAAAGCTGTTGTAACTTATTCAACTTGTTACGGAAGCTGATTCTTAATACATCGTGATTTGTTATTGAACGATTCTTCTTGAAAAAGATTCGATATAATATTATAACAATTAGATAATTTTATCTACTTATTAAACTATAATGATACTAGTTATGCTTACTTGAAAAACAAAATATTCTTCATTTTCAGCCAACTTTTACGAATCAAACATGCCTATTTATGCTCCAAACACAAATTCTAGAATTAAAAAAGAAGGTTTGAAGGACAAGATGTCACAGTCACTACCAGAATATTGGAATAAGAAAATACGTTGTTCTTTACCAAAGTCTCGTTCAAAAAATCTTACGAATCTGACTAAAGCATTGTTGTTGTCTCACTCGGATTCATCAATCGACTTTAGATACGACTAACAAATGTGTTATAGTATTATATAAATAATAGCTTTTTAAATTCTATAACTATAACTGTATGAATAAAAACAAGTTATTTTTAAATTTCGATCATTTTTTTTCTTTATTATGTACCATTTCACACGAAAAGTGATGATTGTTAGTCTGTTTTTCATCATATTTCTGATAACGTTTTTAAAATTTAATTACGAGGCGATTATGATTTTTTTTCAAGTATCATACCGTTACTCTTTTCTAGAAGCTTCTTTCTTAAATACCATGTGTAATAGAGAACTTTAACTCTCTTACCTTCTAATCAAGGTATAATCAATATTTATTGCTTAAAATTATGTTAGGCTTTAGTTTCTAATTTTACTAAATAAGAGCCAAGATTTCTGTTTCCAGTTAAGTAAGAATTTGTTCAATATTGCAAAAAACTTTTATTTGCCAGGCAATGAATTTGTCCAAGCAACTATGACAGGGACTTATCTAATAACTACTTTGTGGAGTAAGAGCTTATATATTTAATTTAAGAAATTAAAAAGTATAAAACAGGGACTTGCAACTGATCGTGATCCCCTGTTTTAAATGTCAGCTTGAACATAGCAACTCAACAAAGTGTCAATACTTTAACAACATATTAAGTCTGATTCTTTTATTTATTTTAGCTAAAATACAATTATTGAAACGATTTGGAAAATATTATATCTAAAAATTTACACAATAACAAAAGGCACGTGTCACTTAAAAAAAAAGCGTAGAGCTCTGTGAATCTTTTCTTATAATTAAAAAAAAAACGTGTTGCAAAACATTTTTATTGTTTCACTTTCAATAATACAAAGATATTTCTCTTGTTATTGATAATCAAACATGCTCAAAATCTAGTGACTCATATTAGTGAACTTTAAGGGAGTGAACGAATAATGTCATGTAGAAAAAATTTTCACGATCCTCAAATGGTGGCTGACCAATCCCAATTCTTTCCAAGACTGTCTCCTCACTTCCTTAAAGCTCACTCACTGATGTAATGGTTTAAATTATGTAGTTGATGCACACCTTTAATTCTTCTTTATATATATAATAGATTATAGTGTAGTGACCTCTGATAAGGTATTCACACTTTACTTTATTACGAAAAAGCGTACATAGATCTTAAATAGGGTGATAAGAGCCGATGCATGAGACCATAGCATTTTGAGAGCTGACATGCCTTTGGATGGTACATGTTTTGTATGTGTTTCAAGTAAGAGCTTGAAGTCTATATGTATACCAAAAGATCTGACATAAAACATTGAAGTAATTGTATTATGATCTCTTATAAAAGTTTGTGTGTCAACAGGCTTGAAGCCCTTTTTATTCAGGTGCAGGAACCGTGACTCGTCAGGTGAAAGATTCAGAGCCAACTCTATGAGAATTTTATCTGTTATCTAAGACGCATATTCAAAATTTTTTGAGACCTTCTTAGTGGAATTGGACTTTACGGCGAGAATGAGATCGTTAGAAGACTGTTGAATAAAGATGTATTTTGGCAGGTTATCAGAAATGGAGGAAACATAACTAGAGTAGAGCATAGGACTGAGTACAGCTCCTTGGTGGACTCCTTTATGTAACGTTCTGAAATACTCTAGATTATTTTCAGTGTAAATGAGCCTTTTGATGGTTATGTCTTTAGTAAAATTGATTATAGTAAGGAAGCAACCAAGTTGCGCTAGTTTGTCCATCAGAATATCAGTATGAACGTTATCAAAAGTTGCTTTAACGTCCCAGAAAGTGGCAAATACGTCTTCCCAATCTCTGAACGCAAGCTCGGTAAATAAATTGAGATTAAGTATGTTGTCCATGCCAGAGTTACCTTTGCTGAATACGTGTTGGCTAGATGACAAAAGATAGTTAAAATCAAGTCAGAACTTCCAGCAATTTTTGTTTGGTGTTTCAAACAACTTGCAGAAACAGGGGATCAACGAAATGGGTCTGACATTCTGACCATTTGGTTTTCAAATGAAAATTACGCAAATTTGCTTCCATATTTAAGGAATATCACCTTGGCCAAACATTTTATTTAATATATATAGTAAGACTAATTTAAATTTAATGCGAAGGGACTTGATAATCAAGAAGTTATTACCATTCATACACAGGGTGGACCTGTCTCTCTTGTTCTCAAGCACCACATTAAGCTCCTGAAAGAAAAAAGAATCATGAACAAATTTGTCAGAGGGATACGAAGCTGGTAATGGGAATCCGTTTTGACCCGAGGTGGGCAAAGCTTGTTTAAAGTTTGGTCGGTATTATTGGGTTGTAAGTTGTTAATTTAATGAGAAGAGCAAATTTTCAGCCATCTATTTTTTAGAACCTTGCAGGTCCTATAGACGTAAGAAAAATTGGTTCAAAAATTTAAATTTTGAGTAAAATTTGTAAATTTTGGTTTGATTTCGTTTTTTACTATTTTTTTTATTTCATCACATGTTAAGTTGTAAATAATCAGGTGGGATAGTTCAAGAGTATGATTACATTTTTTGTAGGCTGCTCGTCTAATTTTTTTGGCTCGTTTACAATCACTGTGCCACCAAAGAGCTGGATTTGGGTGTTTGCGTTGAGAGACTAATATTTTAGCCAGTATGTATTTTTTGATAGCATCTGCTATAATTTAACAAAAAAACTCAAATTTGCTTGATGACGTTAAATTATCCTATTCAGGGAAGAAAAAGTTATTGTACGTAAGATTAATATCTCTACTTACGTCATTTCAGTTGATGCACTTGAAATGTAGTTGAAATGATTTTTCATGCTAGGTATTTTTACCTACAGATGTTTTAACAAAAATAAGACAGTGATGAGACGTCCAAGTTTCATCACATACCTCAACGTCAGTAAGATTGATGACATTTTGAGTAAAAAAACGTCAAAAAAAAAAAGGTCTAGATTAAACTTGTAGCTTTTTCTCTCGTTAATGTAAGTAATCAAATTAAAGTTATTTAGGCAAAAGTTTCTAGACTTAAATCAGTTTTCTAATCGTAAGCCATTTTCATCTAATTTTTGACAGTTCCAAGCTCTTTTGTAGGAACTAAAGTCGCCTTGCAAAATAGTGCAATTATAAGGGTTAATTCCTTTGACAACCTTATTCCAGCACATCTAAGATCTTATGAGATCAGGGGGTCTGTAACAGACAATCAAATCAATGTTAGTTTAAATGTTTTTGAATTGTAAGCAACATATTTCAAAATCGTTTTTGGTTTAGGTAATATCATTATTTCCTATAAATATTTACTAATAAAAATCACAAAGCCACAAACCCTAGTGTGGGTTTGGTCTGTTCTGAAAGTTATAAGATCCAGTATACAACTAATATCGTCTGGTCTCAACCACGACTCCACGCATGTAACTATGTTAAATTCTCTAGCAACCTTTTTGAATTCTACAAATTTGGCACATATGCTTTAGCGTTCCAGTACAAAATTCTAAGATGCTACTATTTTCTTGTTGCTATCTAAAACATGCAACAAGAAAAAATTTTATTTCTTGAAATTTTGAAAAAGTCAGTCTTACAAATATTAGTTGTGTTCTCAGTAAATAAGAAATGTGAAACTCCGTATTATATTTTTTTTTAATAATAAATATTTATAAATATAAAAAAGTACAAAAAAAATTAAACTAAAAAATGTTTACATGATTATTTATTCCAAAGTTTGTTGTTCATCGCTCTGTACAATAGTAACAATTGGTTTGTCGTAGCTATAGTAAGAAATTAATGTTGTAAATGCAATTTCATATCAAAATTCTCATAAGAATTCCGTCTATAGTTATACCACTTGTAGTAATGGATTGATGTCGATTGTTATTAATACGTACATGTAAAAATCGTGAAGAAAGTCTTTTAAAGGCTGCAAATTTTTATTCTTGAAATTAACATTCAAATCACCAGAAATAATTATAGGCAAAGAGTTATAATTTTCTTGCAATGCAGTAGAACCAATATTCAAATTTGGTAGCAAATAAAATCGCAAAAAGCAAATGATTTTATTAATGTTACTATTTGTTAAAACATAAACAACAACGTGCATAAAAAGTAATGTTATATTCATACGCATCAATTGTAACTTGTAACCGACGGACGCAAACTAATATACACACATTGACGAACTGCTACTGTCATCTCTCTATCTCTCCCTCACCTTACCTCAGACTTGTAAGGTTAGCGACCGCAAATAATACATATTATTATTTTGCAACGATTCAGGGCTCAAACGATTTCTCCTTACCTGCAGATTTATCATCTACTCAAATTTGTATTTGCGGATAAATAGTTTGCAAAATATTTGGTAACTTGAAAGTCAATAATGGGCATGGCCCTGAAACATAAGAACCTTTGTTTTTAATGTTAAATTGAGTTGAACTCCAATTCTGCCTGTACGATTCGTTTTCTCCTTACTTGAAGATTACGGAGGTGCATTAATTTATATAATTACATGTTACAAAGATTATAAATAATAAATTTAATAACTGAGTGAGGATATCTAGTAACTTTTATCTAGTGACTTTTAATCTAGTTACTTTTCTGCGTGTTGTGGGTGCCGGAATCGTTATTTTCAAATTGATAAGAAGATGTTTATAAAATAGACACAAAACAGTAAGAGCAAGATAATGAATTGTTTTTTTCTGAAAAGCAGATTCCAAATAATATTAAATAAAAAAGGTAACTTGTATCAAGAGACTGCCAGTCAAAGCATTGGCAGGCTATTTAATTTAAACTCATACATAATAACAACTGTTATAATTTTTTCCAAACCACGAAATGATAATCAGAAGCTTTATTGCCTAATTAATAAGTTGCATTATAATTATAGAAACACATAAGGCTACGAAAACTGAAGAAATTCCTGTTAACGACAGCTGATAGAAAGGTAGGTGACGTTATCAGAAATCTAGTATGAACATTGATTAGGAAATTTTAAAAATGTGGTGTCTAAATGACTTTTAATTTTTACTATATAATTACTCGTCAAAACGACTGTTACATTATT